CCTTGATCCTCTGTTTTAAAAGCTCAATGATCCAATGAAATCAGCTATAATAAACAAAGATCTATAACTCATCAAATAGCTTAAGTCCATCGTTATCACGATCCTCACAATGCCTTACAAATGGAACGACCTTCCCCGAGTCAGTTCCCCATTCTGCTTCACATCCATGAGAAGGTGGAGTAAGGTGACAAGGGTCCATCGACGTGGACCGAACACAAGGCGGATCAGGAGCTGAGGAATCTTTTGGCTGATAAAGTAACCATGGCTTTAACCCTCCAAGACTATGAGCAACATATCCAAATGTAGACCTTGCGCTTGTGACAAGGTTATCGGTTAGACTCAGAAGATACATCTCAGCAAGAGCCTTTTGGTCGTGAAGCTTCTTGTCTGTTTGTTGAACTCTTTCTCCACTCGGCTGAAACACTTCGATTATCTCACCTGTCGAAGTCGGTTTCTCCCAAAACATGTCCTTCAAGGTATCAGAGTACTCTGGATACAGAGATGTCACAAGAACCGCTTTATGGATGGCGCGCTTCGATACATTGAGTTTTGGTTCTTCTTGTGTAGCTGCTTCAGGCAAAAGTTTCGCTCTTCGTGTACAAGCTACGATCTGGTCCATTACGTGCTGGTAATACCCGCCTCGATCGCTGAAAACCCGTATTTGAATCCCGAGTCTCTCGTCTGCTCTGGATAAGTGAGCATTGTAGTACCTTGTGATCAAGCCCCAAACTTGGTTCGTCGGGTGAAAAAGATAGCGAGCCAAATGGTGAAAGACAGTTTCTTTCTGCGGGAACAGCTTCGTTAGCTCGGTTTGGAGAGTTGGATTCAACCATAGAGAAGGAACAAAGTAGACATTGGCTTTGACAATCAACCAAGGGACTTTGTTGATTAAAGTTTGATCCTTTTGGCAGAAGAACATCTTGTCATTATCCCTTGAATCATGGAGGATATGAAGATACAAATGCGGCAGAGTTGAGTTCGAGTTAATGGCATTGTTGTTCAACATTGTTCCGTAACAACGAGAGTATCCCATGTTGTAGCCATCAATCTGTTTCATCAATGGAAAGTCAAGAGGAAGTAGCCATGAAGTACCTGGAAACGGCTCGCAAAAGAGATCGCTTATATCTTTGCTTTGATCGACAAGAACGATTCTATCGGTCAAGAGAGCGTAGAGGAAGACAGAAGCAAGTGTAAGTATTCTGTTTCCAAGCCCGTAAACCGCCACCCACACAATGTATTTGCATTCACCATCAGAATTCTCATCATGACTAAGTCTCTCTGTTGCTTTCTTGTAAGCATCTGTGCCTGGACCGCAACGCTTGTGAAGCTTCTCATAGCTTCTAAGCTTAGAGACAAGATACTCAGAAGGCTTATACGGCGATGCCTTGCGATACAACAAAGATTGATGATACCTACTCAAGCAAGAGTCTTCGTCGAAATCCGCTGTTAAAAGCCCTCCTATCAATTTATCGCCCGGTCTTTCGGATTCCTTTGAATCTATTACAAGAAAATCAAACATTTTAAAGTCAAAGGGAGCAAACTTCTTTGAATTTACCACACAAAAATACACAAACGATTGATCATTATTTTTTATAACACAAAAAGATTGATCATTTTTTGTTTACCGTTGGTTGTAGCATCAAGAAGTTGGTTGTTGAAGTTGTTTGAGAATGAGAGTAAGATAACAGACCAAATTAGTAAACCACTAAAGATGACTGTTATGAGAATCTTCATCTTCAAGCCCAAAGCCCTGAAAACTTCGCCGGAGATCTGAAAGATATGATACATGTTGACTTTAGTTTGATCAAGTTTATAACTTGAAGATGGTTCAAAAAGTGTTATATATCTAGCGTGATTACAACTCTTATTATGATTTCAAGCTGAAGAAACTTGTTAATATAAGAGTTTTGAATATTCTAATGCGTCATTGTTAAGTTGTGACTATCAACGAACTCCGAACGTAAAATAAAAGTCTTGAATGATCTTCGATTTATGTAAATGACCATCAAGTTGTATTTGTATACTATGATAGAGAAAGAAATGGCCAATGAAAGACTTGTTTTGAATAAGCAACAAAGTGTTATATATTGTTGAAAACTTGGAATCTATACAAAATACATCACATGTCATGTATTATTTTTTTGGATTTGACAAAATCATATTCATTTTTTTTTAATTTTATTATAAATAAATGATCTTTACACACTCAGATCCGAAAGCTCGCGTTGTTGACTAAGAAAAAAATAAAGTGGTTTTATATTTATCTAATTGATAGGCAAAACTCGAGATTTCCATTTATCAACTTGTTTATGAAATGAGGACCCTATCAAAAATGACTTGTATATAAGTCGTTACTCACGTC